ACTAAGACTATGAAAATAGGCAAAAAACGAAAATTACACACAAATTTCAACAACAACACGATATTATACAAAATAATGACTGACATTGTGATATTTGTCAAATAATAAACGACAACGCTGGTGAACACGGCCGCACTGTGACCAACATAGTGATAATAAAATTCGGTTTAAACTAATTTTTGCAGCTTTAATCTAAATAAAATATTTGTTACAATCATTTGCCCTATAAAGTAAAATAAAGAGCTTCTCGGTATCTTAAATTATACAACAAATTTAAACATTTTTGCCAAAATTTCATTTAGTCAGGTTTATAGGCTTTAGTGTCAGTTTCATTATGATTGATGACGTGCATCGGAAAATGTTTTGCAATTACAGATTTGTTTGTCTTTACTGAGCTTATTTTGTATTATTTTTTCTACAACTGATAGTTGTCTACGGGTAGTAAATCTAGAAGAATTTTTTTTCTGTCAAAACTTATATTAACAGTAACACTTTTTTATTAAGCAGATCTCAATTAAAAATCGAGGAAAATAAATGACTATGTAATACCGTGCTGGCAACTGTTACTTTTGGGTCGGCATTTACATGTGTGGAAGTAAATCGTATAGGGATCTTATTAAGTCGGAGTGAGAGAAATGCGACCGACCGACGCGACGCGCGACGGTGTGCTGTTGCGGCGTTGCCGATACGCCTTTCCCTATCAAGTAGAGTAAAATCACGATCGCAAACCGCTTATTTTTAAAAGACTTTTTTTTAAGAGATAACTAGATAAAATCATTAGACATGTTTCTGAGCATCTGAAATGGAATTATAAGGATATCGTTATGGTGTCATTTTTTTTATAACGAGAAAACGTCAGTAATCGCGATAATTTAAAAACTCAACTTTTTAACACAAGAACTTTAACACAAGGCCTCAAGAACCACTTTAGATATTGAAACTTTTTTTTTTCAAGATCGGATATTTTACAATATGTTTACATAAGAAAAATTCGATAAGGTTGTTTTTTCCATTCAAAAATTGTAAACAATCCATCCATTTACTTTTAGAGGATAGCAATTTTCAGCAATCAGTGTAATTTTTTTATTGATAAAGATTTTCACATACTGTCTGCAAAGAAAATACAGCAGAAATATTAACAAAGTTCTTGAAAAAACTACAATCTATTATTTCTAATAGATTTCGAGATATCGATTTTTGAGTTCTAATAGCGCGACCATTATTGAACACCCATTCAATTGCACTTATTTTTACCAAAAATGTAAGTGTTTCTAGCTTGCTCTTAAAAAAAATCAAGCTATAGGGAAAATTACAACGACTCGTTAATAAATAAACAAATTAAGTATCACGAGACGTAATTAAATCGTGAAGCTGAACGCATGACGTACACATTTCCCTAGAACTTTAAGTACTGACAGAGGTATTGATTGGATCGACCGGTCAACTGCGACAAATCTGCTATATCCCCTTCCACGTCTCTTAGCGATGTGCACAGTTTCTCGGTTTATTTCATACGTTTGGCAACGTGTTTACTGTCCTCTCTTTGTTCAGTACATTATAAACGCATTGTACTCTTCTTACATACGGAAATCTCGACCCAAGACTAACCTTTGCCAGCCCTTCGTATACATACGTGTAGTAAGCCAATCATTTATGAAATTTACTTAAAATTAACCAAACATATAGTATTTTTCTTGCATTTTTGCTGTTATTTACTACTTATCAAAAAAAATTTAGATACGTCAATATGACTTACCTGCTTCAGTAGCGTTTCGGATGTTTTTGTTATTAAATAATTATTATAACTTATCTATTTTTATTAGAATTATATATATTTTTATAACAATTTTAATAACTACCGACATTTATTGATAACTTAAAATAAAATGACAAATTATTGAGTTTTATCGAGTCTACCCTACATTATATTTTTACGTTTTGAATAAAATTAGAACGGCACTGATAAATCGGAATTTAAGTCGATCATTTTAGGTCCCCATCGCGCTCTATGTAATTTTTTTGATATGCTTCTTCCTTAATCTTTTTATTGAAAGATTAGATTCTATCGCTTTTAATTCTCGGGAAGAGACTTCAACAGCCAATTAGACGATAAACCTTTATACGACCAAATCATATTAATTATTAACGATTGCAGCTCTTTGACGATATCTCAACCCTTTAAAAATGTGCCACTTAACATTGATGTTAAAAATGTATATTATATTTTGTTTTAATAGTAGTTAACGAAATTAGTAGTGAAAACTAATTTAGTGGTATTTTATTTATGCTTTACTCCTAAAAATATAAAAATCTATAACATGGTTGAAGTAGATTGAAAATGCTTTAACCATAGAATAGTTATTTTAGTAAAATAGAACCTATTCAATTTTTGAGTAATTTAGCAATAGATTTTTTATATTTTTTAGAAATTTGTAACTATTGGAATTGCCGATTAACGTACCTATTAACATGTATTTATGTTTTCACCAATCGATGATATACGTATTTTTTAGTTAAGAAAAATTTTCAAAAAAAAAATTAAAAAATCTTGTAATTAAATTTTAGATACATATATAAAAATTCAAAATGTGTTTGTTTTTACTTTTAGAGACATATTTATTTATGCTAATATGTTTCTTAACTGACGGTATTTCAAATATTATTAATCTTTTTACTGCCAAATGAGCTGAAAAATTTATGGGTTTGTTTTTGGGCTATATTATATTAAATATTGTCAAAAATGGTCATTACCTTTATACAGTGGGCGCTAAAAATACAATTCATTTGTAAATTGAACATTTTTGAGTTATGATTTAAGTAATTGTAGTAGTCAAATATTTAAGTAATTCAGAACAGGTAATAAGCAAAATAAAATAATTTTATGCGATTCATTTAATGTTATAATTTCTTGGTCTCAAATGGCTTTTAAGGGCAACGGCCCAGCTGCGTCGAAACACCGGTTCCCATTAGAACACCGAAGTTAAACGAGGTAAGGCGATACTAGTGGATGGACGGGTGACCGGTTCGAAACTCTGTATCGTGCTGTTGTCCAATATAGGCAAAAGTGTAAAATCTATTGAACTGAAGCAAACTGAAACTTTTCGTATATGAATGCAGAATCCGATTGCTGGACTATACTTACACGGACTTTTAGATTTGAATTACTTAAAAAAATAGTTTTTTTTCTACTATACAGTTTGTCCCAGGGTTGTCTTTACAAGAGGAAGAATTTTTTTATTATTAACATTTTGAGAAAAATGCATTCTTCATAAAAATTTTCGCTGGTTCTAAACTGGTTAATCTCTTTTATACTTTTTCAAATTTCCATACCGTTTTAGAGAAAATTACAAAAAAATATGAAAATAAGCTTGATTTTTTTCTAAAGCTTCATTCAGAACCTCGCACTTAGTGGAATAAATTAGTAGTTTCAATTAGCGTAGAAGTTTGTTCCTTTAATTTCAATGTATGCATTCAGAACGTCATAATTAGTGGTAGGCGTTTTCAATTAGTAGAAAAAGTTATCAAACTTTTGACTTTTCCACTAATTATACTTCAAAATTTGCGACAAATGTCATTTTAGCATTCGATTATCTTCCATCAAGATAAATTGTGGTTAGAAATCAAAAGACGATTGTTTTATGTGCTAAATATTATGCCGGGGCCAAGCCAAGACGACAAAAAGTAAACACGATTTTGAGACAAAAACAAGACAAACTTGCGACAAAAAATGAGGAATTCTGACAAGACAAATTGTCCACACCGCCAGGATAAAAGTACAAAAGTTTAGTTGTTGCGAATGAGTTTTATTAACCATGTGTGATTTCGCTGGTCTCCTACTGTTGGCAGCACACGCCATACATACTGCGCCGACAACTTGTAAAATATACGAACAAAACATAGACACTTTGCTCTTTACCGAGTCGAGACGGGACATTGAAAAGTCTCCGAATTTTGAAACAAGACAAAAATGTCGCAGAAATGTGGATTTGTCGCAATTTTGTCGTAAAACATGAATGTTCCTGTCTTGTCGTTCTTTTGTCTGCTTGGTCTCGATTAGGCTTTCTCTATGGATAAAACTGACTTACGCAAGCTGTTGCTAGGATATTCTATTAATTTTAATTGTGTTTTTTAGACATTGTGAAGGATCGTAATCTAAAAAGTATAAAGTGTAATTGAAATCACTAACTTGTCACTTTATTCCACTAATTGCGAGGTTCTGAATGAAGCTTAAGTCCTGACCTTTCTATGGTAATACAATTTCGATTTCATTCTTCGATAGAATGTTATTATTTAGAATTTTAATAAATGTCATATTTGTGTTGCTGTTCTAAAACGTTAAAAAATCACAAAATTTATTTAGTTCAATGCTACGAAAATATGATACTGTGATACTTTAACAGAAAAAAATATGACGTCAAGCAAAAAAAATAATAACCATCTAATGTATCAAAGAACCAAATCGAATTTGTATTACCATAGAAACGTCTTTTAATTTTTTGGTTTTGGAAAATTCAAGCTTATTTTCATATTTTTTCTAATTTTCTCTAAAACGGTATTTTAGAAGAAGCAAAAATTTTTATGCTTGCGTTTTTCTCATAATGTTAATAATAAAAAAGTTTTTCCTCTTGTAAAGATAATCCGGGTACATACTGTATATAAATGTTTATGTAGAATTTTCAATTCAGAATTACTTTTTTTCCTCAAATTAGTTAATATTTTCTGTGTAAACAGAAACTGTCACATATGTTTATGTAATATTTGATTTTCCAATGTGCTCTTTGAAAAATGCAACCGTCCGTCGCGTCGACCAAATATCACATACCAACTTTCTTCCAGGAAAATCGTAAACCTACACAACCCACTACGCGCGGTCCCCGAAAGAAAAAAACCCAATCTCCGGCCACCATATCGAAACAAACCCAGGTATTAGAATCGACCAATCGCGTTCGAGAGGTGGTACCGCGCCGCGATTGACTCTTCTACCACCATGGTACCATTTCGACGACCAAGTACCATGTCAATGCGGCCCGAACGTTGAGTGCGTTTAACGTAGCGGTGTGAAAAAATCGTTCGAATAGCGAACAATAAGCGAGTAATTTAAGGCTAATTTACACTAGTGTGCGTGTGAACGCGGCTTAATTTATTTTCTCGTTTTAAAACAAAAAGTGTGAAGCGTGCCTTTGTTTGATTAGGAAAGTCGATAAGAAGTAAATAAGGTTTTATTAGGATTATTCATGATAAGGTATGTGTGCTTTTTATTTTTTATTGGTTGCTGTCGATTTTACGGCTAGTTGAATGAATTAGACCAATAGAAAGTCCATTTCTGTGGTTTAGTCATTATCTTATATGTATATTACAATATACGTTTGGAGTGTTAAACATCCAGAGTTAGTAAAACAAAAAATAAACGCATTATTCTGACCGTTCAATAAAGGGGTGATATGCTGGGAAGCGCCAGAAGCAAGAAAAAAAATTTTGTGTTAAAGTATTTTTATAGCGAGGATCAAATAAATACATATTATACAAAGAGCCTCATTTTGGTTGCAACTAAAGGATTTTTTGCTTATCGACAAATATGAAACCTTTAGGGTCTGTGTAAACTAGCTACTTTTAAGTGAAACCTATATAAGAGGTCGCAAAAAATTGCCTTTACGAGCTTCAGGGCGATATTGCGATATACCTTTTATATCTTAGTTGTTTGACAATATGTCAAAAACATAATACGACTTTTTTGACAAATGGTTATTTTTTAACTATGACACTTTGAATCATCCTCATCATCATCATTTTCAGCTTTTTCAACCATTTCCAATTATGGTGTAGCCTCCCTCTCATATTTAGATACTCTCTTTGTATAGTTGGGCCCATTGTTGTCTATTGTTGGCTATGCGGGCCCAAGTTATCCCTGCTAATTTCCTAATATCATGGTCCCATCTCAAGTTCGGTCTTCTTCTAGGTCTCTTAAGTCCTCTGGGGTACCATGCTGTAATTTTTGTGGTCCATCTGTTGTCCTGTTGTTCTTCCCAGATGTCCTGTCCATTTCCATCTGAGAGATTTGACTCTGTGAATGACGTCTATTACCTGGATCTTTTGCCGTATCCACTTTATTCTTTTACGGTCTTTCTTGGTTATTCCCAGCATATTTCGTTTCATTGAGCGGTATGCGACCTGCAGTTTCCTTATGCGTACGGTGTAAATGTCCAGGTTTCGCATGCATAGGTCATGACTGGTAGTACACATTGGCCGAATCTTTTCTTCTTTAGATAAAGTGGCATTCTAGATGTGAATATGATTGAGTTTCTTCCATAAGTACTCCATGCTAACTTAATTTTTCTGTTGATTTCTGGTAGTAGAGATCTCGAGCTGTGTATTGGTTGTCTCAAATATATGTATTCTTCTACTATTTCCAGTGTGGTGTTATTTATTATAATGTCTTTTCTGCCCACTAGTTTGTTGTACATTACTGTAGTTTTTACTAAGTTCATTTTGAAACCCACTTTATTGCTGGCTGTATTTAGTTCGTTAATTTGTGCTTGTAGTTCTTCAGGGCCGTTGGCAATTAGCACTATGTCATCAGCGAATCTTAGGTGGTTGAGATATTCTCCATCTATTTTTAATTATTTGGTCCAGTCCAGATGACAGAAGATTTCTTCTAGTGTTGCTGTAAATAGATTTGGGGATATCGCGTCTTCCTGTCGTCCTCCTGCCAGTTGGGAACTCTGAGGTTGTTTTATATATACTCTTTGACACTTTGAATATTTACCAAGAAATTATATACTTTTCAAAGCATTTTAAAAGTAATATGGAATATTAATTATATATTATTTATATTATTTATTTATTATTATTTTAATAATAAACGGCATAAATCACTTTGTTCATAATCCCACATTTAAAATTTAACAGAAGACCATGAAAACCATTCTGTTGCACCATTTCAAGATGAAGTTTATTGTTATTGTTTTACTGTTATTTTTTTTTGTTGTCTCGTTTTTTGCAAAAGTATACCTATTTACGTGATTGTGGTATAATACCGTATGATTGAAAGAAACGGCGGCAAAGACGGCTGGGAATAACAATCGATAATAATTTTGGCGAAGTCAATCTCTAGACGTGATTTGCTAAAAATTTATATAAAACTTGCCAAAAATTAACACGGATAGGACATTCACAAGGATAGAACATTTCAATTTCAACAATTTTAAACTACAATAATTCTACTCAATGTAAAAATAAGTTACAACCTTTTTAAGGCCAACTGGCAGTAATGGCTAACTGGCGCCATTAAAAACAATAAAGAAGAATAGAGGCCAAGTAAATGACATCTAGGGCTTGACAGCGATCGATTCAATCGAGTCATTCGGAATGACAATCAATAGTAATTTTTGGGGAAAAAAACTGGGGAATAACTCATTTCCCAGCTGTCTTTAACGCCGTTTTTTTTTATCGTATGGAACATCATTTTTTTCCAAGTTAGGATATGTAGTAAACACTTTTTACTTTAAGAAATAAAATAGAGATGTGAAATGACTAATTAAAATGGGGGTGCGATATATGATTTTCATGTTGAGGCCGCAAATTTTTCTTTGTATTGTTGTTTAGCTTTTGATATTGTTGTATATTTAAATATCTCCATTAAACAAATATATTTTTTTTAGTCTTACTTATTTACATTTACAATTTTTCAGTTGGATTTGGTAATATTCTGTAGTAGTAAGTTTGTTCTTCGACAGCAGTCGCATCATTTACCCTATATAACTTCTTCAAAATTTACATGTACTTTATGAATTTTTTCTCACTTATAATTAGTCTTATACTTATAATTATTTTAATTTCTATATCTGGGTGTATTTATTGCCTTTCGAAACCTAATATTTTTTAAAACGTACTTTGCTGTTGCTCCAGAAACGAACCTCACTAGTACTTAAACATGAGCGTTATAGGTATACATACTGTCATGTTAAAATGCCAGTGTGTATTATGCGGACCAACGCTACAAAGTAAAAGTAATATAAGTATATATGATAGCAATATAACAGGATAGGTATTAACCGGAAGCGTTATAAGGACGTTTTATTGTATTTATTTTTTATGACACTGTTTACCAGTTATAAATTTAAAAGTCTTTTAGTATTTTCGTCAGTAGTAGATGTTTTAAAATCGTGTGTTCAGCAAGTATTCCAGGATGCATTTTTCTAGTTATTTCATTTATTTTTGATATATATAGTTTAATATATTCAATCATTTAAACCTAAGTTGAAAACATAAAATTTAAACTATATAAAATCTAATATCTCTGTGTAATTTCAATTTTTTATACCTCTTATATGTATATCTACGTCGCAGGCGTATCGAATAACTCGGCATTTTGCAAAAAGACTAGGCATGTTATAAAACGCCGGCATTTTTAACAATAGAAGAATATTTTGCAAAGAATCTATCTCTGTTAAGATTAGTGAATTGTGATGAAGATTAGTCAGATTGCACAAAACATTTTACGCCGAATTAGTAAAACTAGCCTAAATTTATACAACGACATTTCTTGAACTTCTCTTTCAAAATTAGAAAATAGTGGCACAAGAAATGATAATTCTGTAAAATGGAGTATGGTTAAGGACGATTATTATAAAGATCTAAATTCATTTTATTCTAAAAGAATAAAAGTTCCAAAAAAAGAAAGCAAAGTTCCACAAAGAGACAGCCCTGTACACAGAATCAAATTACAGAGTATAATAATTCAAGGAGATATTAATATTAAGGTTTTAATATATTTTGTATTTAAAATTATGTTACTTATAATAATTATAATTTATGAAATAGGGTTCAAGTTGTTTTTATCTAAAGAAAATAAAATTTTAACATAAATTATTGTTTATGCTTATGCTCATAGCTGAGTAATTTTTGATCATTTTTTAATCTGCCTGGCCTCGATTTGGCATTTTGTAAAACGACTGAAAACAGGCAGTATTTTTGCAGAAGTATACAGAAAATATCGTCAATATCGTCATTGTTTAATATGCCTAATTCTGATTAGGCTTTTTGCAAAAATTCCTTCTATTGTTTAAATGGCCGGCGTTTTATAATGTGACTAGTCTTTTGCAAAAAGCCGTATTATTCTATGCGCCTGCCTGCGACATATACATATCTTTTTTTCTCTTAAAATTGTAATGTAATGGATATGTTAAAAAACTAACTATTATTATTGTAAACTATTTTTTAATGTGAAAGCTCTATACAGGTTGTTAACTGGACAGTTACTTATAGAGGAACAGAATGGCAACACTGCCTATTGAGAACGCATACACTTATAGGGTTTTCTGCCGACTCGTCCCGTCGCGTCGTCTATCGACGAGCGGTCCGTGGTTGCCATATTTCAACCATAAAGCTCTTGCCGCGAGTAATAAACAAATTATCAACCTGTATAGTTTTTTTTTGTATTTTGAGTTTTATTATGTTTTATTTATTTTTGCTATGAAGCATATTTACCGAGATATTTACATTCCTATTTTTATTTTTTTTGCACTTCAAATGTTTAGTCGGTGCTTTACTTATTTTCGCTGCAGCTTTATAAACAAAATAAACGGAATGTTAGTGTTAATTGTACAAATTTAGTTTTCCTTGACACGAAAACTTAGGATATCAAGCAAACTGATATTAAATATAGGTATATTGAACAATTTAAAGTTTAATTTTATCCATAATTTATAATAGTTTGTGTAGATAGTAAAATTTTACAAATAAGGAATAAGATATATAATAATCGAGTCATTTAAGCCCAATTTACACTAACGTACGTGTGAACTATAATTTATTTTGTGGTTTGGAGATAAAAAAAGTGTGAAGTGTGTTGTTTAGATTTCGATTAACCTCTGAAACTCAATAGAACTGTTGGCAAAGAAAAATGTTTTAGTAACACCAATTAATTGTTCATTAAAATGATGATATTGGCACTGTGAAAAGCCGTAGATTAATAAGAATAGTACCTTTAAATCCATTTATTTTTATTTCGATTTATTCCAAATAATGTTTTAACTAACGTCGACATTAGATGAAAATGGGTGTCTGGGAGTTTTTTGACATGAGAAATATGATTTTGATGTCAATATGACTCCTACTTGCAGAGGACGTCACCAACATATTTTTTAACTGGTTTGAAGAGTAATAACTTTTCGTCTGTACCTACTCTTCATAACTGATCTTCGTCACGCTATCTGTATTACTCTTCATAACAGTTAAAATACACGTAATTGGTGCCCCCTAAAATAGAAGTCATATTGAAATCCAAATCAAATTCGTGACGTGTATTGACTATTTCTATTCCAAATATCTTGAGAAATCATTATTTACGTAAAATACGACAGTAATGTATATTTTTTTATTCAGTAGTTTTATACAGGCACCGACAAAAGTATTAAGAGAGAGTAGAGTCATATTTCCCTTTCCAAAAAACTCCCAGACACCAATATTCATCCAAATATCGACTATAGATCACAAGTTACTTGGAAAAACCCGAAATACAAGTGAAACTTCTACACCCCGTATCTCCGAAACGAATCATTTTAGGACATAAACTTATACGAATTTTTTTTTACTTATTTTTACCTGCAGAATACTTTGCCGAAATTTCCCGAATACAATTTGGACCACCCTGTATATTTTCAGAATTAAAATTTAAATTAACCACTTTATTTGCAGTTCAAGTAATGTAATTACCTAATTATATTTTTTTTATTTGTATTCTACACTCAAGGAACTAATCGTACCTCTATGGCTAATTATTGGAATTAGCAAAATCATAACTATTTATCACAATAATATAACAGTTTCGCAGTGATGAAACTATGAATGAAATGAATGTACTATATTTTCATTCATTACATAAAAACTCTTGATCTAGCTGGCCAAATCATATATCTTTTATAGCAAATTTCATATTGATATTTTAAAACATTTTTATCACATCGTCGAAATATTAATGTTAATAGAACCAACCAACTTGTTTTTCAGTATATCATTTCCTTTAACCTCACAAACTATTATTATCTAAAAATTACCACACAAATTAACAATAATTAAACACTAAAAGTGGCAAAATTACTCTTGTTTGCTTTACTTATAACAGTCATAAGATTGGTAAAATATAGATCCATTATCGATGTTCCTACGGATCTTCATCAAAAAGGCTAATTATTTAAAATCCGATCTGTTTTTCTATTTCTTGTAGCCTTGGGCCATTGGAACGTCATCGCTAATTATGTGTTCAAGTACGTTGGGTAAAGTGATCATAAGAGGTATATAATCATAAAATACTTTCAACCAATAGCAGGACGCTTGGGAGGTATGCATGATTATTTTTTTTAAGTTGGAATTCACCATTACGTTATAAAGGAATGCTGTCCGAATATGAGAAACATCTATGCCAATATTAATGTTATATCCGTAAAGAAACCATAACAAATTATTTTCAAAACGCAAGATAAGCAATACAGGGTATTTATAGGTATAACAGGCAGTTTCTATATTCTTGTTTTATTAGAACATGGCATACAAAAGAAACTCCTTTGAATAAGAAGACTAAGGAAGGAGCATATCAAAAATCTTAGGTACACCGCGATGGGCCTCAAATATGGCCGACTTAAATTCCGGTTTATCAGTGCCGTTCTAATTTTATTTAAAAAATGTAAAACTATGATGTAGCAGACGATGGGGTAGACTCAATAATTTGTTGTTTTTATTTTACGTTGTGAATAAATGTTGGTAGTTATTAAAATTCTTATAAAATATATAATTCTAATAAAAATCGATAAGTTATAATAAGTATTTATTAACACAAACATCCGATACGCTACTGAAGCAGGTAAGTCAAATTAACGTATCTAAATTCTTTGACATCTAATCTTTGACAAGTAATAAATAAAAGCTAAAATGCAAGAAAAATATATAATTTAGTTAATTTAAGTGAATTTCATAAATGATCGGTTTACTACACGTATGTATATTATATAGTCACTTACTAGCGAAAAGTTGTTCCATTATTTCACTCAATTTTTGCCGAGATCTACCGCACGTTATACAACCAACTATTTTAGAGTCTTTTTCGATAAATCGCGATAGTGTCACTGTTAATTTAAGTTCTGCCACAATTTCCATCTAGATTTACTACCTTTATACAACTATCAGTAGTAGAATAAATAATAAATAACATAAAATAAGCTCCGTAAAGACTGACAAATCCACAAAATTTCAAATCAAATTCAAATGTGTCAAATGAATCGTCAAACAGAACTGTCGAGAAGCCCCACCCTAGAGTGCTTTTTCCGCCCACCATGCATGAATATATGGATAGCATAATGCTCCTTCCTTAGTCTTCTTATTCAAAGAGAAGCTCGGATACATTAATACTAGAACAATGTACGACAATGAGAGTATGTATTTATACGACGAGTACTCAGAATATGTATTTATAATTATTTAACTCGTAAAAGTAATCTGATAGAAGCAGTCTACGATTACGGATGTAGAAGAGTGGGAGGGGGTTATTCACCGCGACCTTACAGATCTATTATGTCCTCCTTTCTTGAGGTCCCAGGTTTTACAGAGGGTAGTTCTTCATCTCAAATATCAGTGGTACCAAAGCTTATGGCATGAATGGTTTGTCGACTCGGCACACTCAGTGATGATTCCCCATTTTCTCCACAGAATCTGCATTCGCCGTTTTTTCTTAGCTTCAGTCTACTACATGCGCATTGAGGAGACAGTGTCCTGTTAAAATCCCCTGAGTTGTCCACCCAGTTTCCTCTTACCCTCTTCAAGCTCACTGTAAAGAAGAAAACCATTCGTGCTATGAAGTTTGTTATAGCTGATATCGGAGATAGAGAAGTAACCTCTGTGAAGCCGTCTCAGATACTGGCTTTTGTCAAAGCCCTGAGACTGTATGATGAGTTATAACTCATTATAACTCAAGAAAGGGGGACACACAATAGATCTGTAAGGTCGTTTTGATTAACCCCCTTCCGAAACATTCTACATTCTACATCACCTTTACAAATTTCGTTTCAATTTCCATTTTCCAATTTATTTTGATCGAAAATTGCCGCATTGTCGTCAATTTTAGCAGGATATAATCAAAAGTACACGATACTAAACAACGAAAAAACGGTTCCGTTTTGGCAAACGGTCTACGTCACAAGCGTCCAATTATCGCCAACAAATGCCATTGTGACGAAACCATACCAAATATTTTCCCAATCGTGGCCGGTAAATCTTCCAAATACGAAATGTACATAGAATTAAAGCGCTTAAATTATATTTTCAATTATGGCGGTCGAAACGGTTCTTCTAATGGTTCTAAGTGGTACGGCAAACGGCCCACGTCACAATGTCAACTTGTTTGGAAAAATGGTGTTAGTTTGTATCAAGCGCGCAACAGAACGGACTAAAAATACAATAACATTACTGAGACGGTCATGATCCGACCAGCTTGGCGCGTACGAAGCCTTGTTTCTTCAGACTCTTAAGTGAACATTATGATGTAATAACGGAATCGTATAGTGGCGAAGAGTGGTAATTATCGAGGACATTTTGTTTTCAGATTAACTCAAATGGCCCAGCACATTCTCTCGGCTGTGGAGACGGACATAAATTCGATTAAGGAAAAGGGCGATGTCCAGGAACGAGATATTGCCGTGTCGCTCGACGACAGAGACCTCTGGGTGCGGTTTCAGTGTTTCACCAATGAAATGATTGTGACTAAAAGTGGCAGGTATGTATGTTTTCTTTGTTAGCAAGGAAGTACGTTTTCGATCTCGCAGTCCCAATTTTATCTGCTTCCGAGTTATTTGTTATGAATAGTAAAATATAGCTTACGTATTTGAAGTTAACATCTTCTTTTTGCTATTAAAGCTAATCTAGACGGGACCTATTTTGTTAACGCGAAATCCGAACCGCGATACTCAGCCATATCATTTTCAATGGCCTAACGACTTTGCGAGTATCTAAATCGACTCTTATTCACGAGATCTCCATCTAGCCTCGAACCGGCATGAGTGAGCAGTGTTTGTCAATAGTTTTTACATTCTTGCTATGGAACAATAGCACAACAGAGTTTCCAGATGGTCACCCGTCCATCCACTCGAATCGTCTAACCCCGCTTAACTTCGGTGATCTATCAGGAACCGGTGTTTCTACGTAGCATAACTCATGACAGTTTCTTTTTCTTTTACTTTTTATGAACATAACTTATTTGAGAGTATACATAACTCTTTCGTTTTACTATTGTCTCATTAGGAAATCTTGATAATCTTGATATGGTATTGAAAATCTACTACTATGAAATTTGTTTTTATATCTTCATTATTTATCGATTGTTTCAATAGAGGTAAATATTTTACTTAAAGTTATTATTATATAAGTATACTAGCGTGTACCAGCGACTTCGTTCGCGTCGAATTAATCATTTGTAATGGCGATGATAAAGCAAAGCTTATGTCAGCATAAGAAAAAACAATATGGCTATATTATTATATAACTTGGTAATATTTGAGGGGTAGTTTCATCTCGTCGGAATTTGACTTTCGAAAAATCCGTTTACCAAAAATAAGCTTTTTACGTCAAGCAGTTTAAGCAGAATCGTGGTTAACAAATTACCCAACTTTTTGGAATATTTGAGGGGCGCTTTCACCCTCTTGGAATTTGAGATTCGAGAAACCCCTCCTTATCGAACCTCTACACCCCACAGTAATTCCGTTTACCAAAAATCAGCTTTAAACGTCAAGCAGTTTAAGCAGAATCGTGATTACTCAATGGTTATATTTTATGAAACACCCTGTATAAATTTATAAAAAATCTTAAAATATGTAAAACAAGAAAATAAAATATACGTGTTTAAGAGTTTTTCCGAAAAACTCGCCGGTTTTTAAATAAAAAATATTTTAATATTTGAGAGATAGTTTCACCCCCTTAGAATTCGAGTTTCGAAAAATCCCTTCTTGTCGAACCTCTACACTCTAAAGTTAATCTGTTTTCCAAAAATCAGCTTTTTACGTCAAGCGCTTTAAGCAGGATATCGTGATTAATCAATGGCCAGATTTTTCAAAACACCTTGTATACATTTCTAAAAAATCTTAAAATATGTAAAAAAACAAAATAAAATATACGTGTTTAAGCGTTTTTTCGGAAACTTGACCGTTTTTTAAATAAAAAATATTGTAATATTTGAGGGGTGGTTTCACCCTCTTGGAACTGGAATTTCGAAAAATCCCTTCTTATCGAACCTCTACACCCTAGAATCAACCTGTATGCCAAAATTGAGCTTTTTACGTTGAGTGGTTTGAGCAGGATCGTGATTAATCAGTATGTCAGTCACTTAAGGATTTTATATATTAGTGTAGATTACTTAAATATCATAAATTTAGTTATTGTAAGGCTTACGTATTTCCAATTTTTTTTAAATTTATGTGACATTTTGTTTAATAATTGAGCCGTTCCCTGTACAATTCAATTAACTCCACTTTTTGAAAAATCTTCAGTTTAAGTGTTACTTACTGCCATTACTCGCAGACGAGTATTTGACACGCATCAGAAGATGGTTACGCAAGGCGGTTTCATGAGCTTGTCTGTGACTGAAAAGCCCGATACGTCATGTTATTTCTCTCCGCACTTTGAGCATTCAATAATCTCATTACTTTGTTGCCTTTTTACTTTTTGGTTGTCGTCGTTAAGTGAGTTTACAATTCTTCTTCATTGCGTTCTATTGTGTGCTGCTTCCTCCCACTGATTCGGCAGCTTATCCCCTGTAAGTTTTTATGGAAAATATCCTTGTACATTTTGAGTTGTCCACAATGTCCACCTCTTTTATGTTCCTCTTACCGTCTACAAGCCAACCGTAAAGAAGATATTTTGGTAGACGGTATTCTTTCATCCTGCATATGTGACCAGCCCATTTTAAGTGGGATTTAGTAATCATGACTTCAGCGCTCTCGCAGCTAGATTTTTCAAGGACCAATACGTTTGAGACATGGTGGTACCATTTGATTCTTAATAGTTGTATAAGGTAGTTGCAACTGGTTTAATGCGTTCATGTGCCGACGGTACGAAACCCAGGTTTCGCTTCCATATAACATAATAATAATATAATATAATAATAAACGTCTTTATTGAATAATATATATGTGCGAAGTCTAGCTACATTAGCCATTCATACTCAACCCGTGGGGATTATTATTGCTCGGTACACTGCAAGTTTCGTTTTTGTACACAAGTCATGATTGTAGAAAACGCTGTCTTTTAATTTCCAGAATGCTCTTGACACACTGCTAATTCTGTGCTGAATTTCTAACCTAACCGAAATAACCTAACCTAACCTACCTATAATATTCCAATAGTTCTTCTCCGATTTGCATAGCATTGTTATGAGTTTCCGGGGGAGCGCACATGATTTTAGTTTTATCTATGTTCAAAATAAGTCCCAAAACCTCGTATGGTCAGGTATTTGTATTCAACATTTCTTGTAATCCCTGTAACGTTTTTGCAATCATGGTTTTGCATCTCATGCCCATTCGTCTTTCCTGCAATTTGCTATCCACTATAACAGAGAGCGCTGCTTAAGTGTTTAACAACTTTGTATACTCACAACTTTTTATGATCATAACATTTTTCCAAACATCAGAGGTTAAAAAAAACGGCTCAATTATAGTTTCTTATACCCTATTGTTTAAAATAAATAAGAAAATCCGTTTTATTCTTTTAATTCGTATTTAATACAGGGTGTCCCAGAAACAAATGCAAATATTTTAAGGGGTGGTAAATCTCGATAAAAGAAACATATTTTCTCTTTATCGTTTTTCAAATAAGTCCAAAATAACGGAATTATTTTACTTGGAAAATTTCAAAAAAATATATTTTTTGCTAAAATTTTGAGAACCACTGAATCTTTTCTGGATTTTCTTTCTTGTAAATTTAATCTAATACCTATGTTACCATATTACCAAGAAATTATGTTTTTTTAAATAAAAACTAAAAAAATTTCCAAAAAAATGTTAAAAAATATTGAATTTTCAATTTTTTTTTTCGCGAAAAAAACCTCATAGACGTGTTTCTGGGGTTGAACTATACTACCAGTTAAAATACTTGCACTTATTTCTGGGACACCCTGTATGCGGGTCTGAGTCTGGGACACTTAGATGCAAAAAAAACGCATCGGAGAAAATTTTGGTCAAATTTAAACTGTTATATTTTTGTTATTTTTAGCTCTATTTTTATGATTTTTTTAGCAGGCTGTATATAATTATATCAACTTTAATTTGTAAACTCAGTTTTTTATAAATTTTAGTATTTGGCATATTATACAGGGTTAATCGAGGGGTTGTTTTTTCACCCTAATTTTGACACATCCTGTGCAATAATTTCGTGTGTAAATTTTCCTGAAATATAATTTTAGGATCAGAACCATGTCTCCTGAGCATTTTGTTTTTTGGATCATGTCAATACACGCCTTGGTTAATTTTTAAGAGCGAAATGAACTTGCCACCAACAATTTGCAATTTTTTCAATTATAATTTATTTATAAGTTTTTTTTTCAATATGACAAGGCAGCTTTGGTGATTATTGTGAACTATATACTACTATGAACTGCCCATCATGTTCGACGTTTGGGAAATGCTTGGCAGGAGGGTTAGAGGGCGCGAAGCGTTACCAGCTTCATTAAATGAATTTCGCTTGGTCTTTAAAGAAGAATAGGAAAACAACGCAATATGATATATGCAGCCTCAATGACAGTATGAACAAACGTTTAAAGGCTGTTATAGCAGCCAGGGGAGCAATACAAAGTATTAGGGTATTTTTACATTTTTTTTTCAGTTTGTATACTTCAGTATTACAGATATTTTCCTTAATATCGTTAGTTCTGTTATCGTTATTAATGCTTATTAAAACCAGGACTGTATCGTTAGTCTTTAACGTTTTCTTTAATTTAGTATAGATTTTCCAATGCAGCGTAATATGACGTTACGACAATAGTCACCAAAACCCATCTCGTCTTTTTAAAAAATTACATCAAAAGTAATGATAACTAAAAAAATTGCAAATTAATCGTGATCAGTTCATTTCGCTCTTAAAAATTAACCAAAGCATGCATTGACGTGATCGAAAAAACAAAATGCTCAGGAGACATAGTTCTTACCGTAAAATTATATTTTAGGAAAATTTACACAAGAAATTATTGCACAGGGTGTTTTAAAGTTAGGATAAAAAAACAACCCCTCGATTAACCCCCTCAATTTCTAAAGTTTACAAAAAACTGAGTTTGCGAATTAAAGTTGATATAATTATATACAGTATGCTAAAAAATTCATGCAAATAGGGCTAAAAATAACAAAAATATAACACTTTAAATTTGACCAAAAATTTCTCTGTTGCGTTTTTTTTTGGCATCTGAGTGTACAAAGAATGGAACAAACAGTATCCTTTAATATTTTAACTTAAAAATAGTGACTAAAAGCGGTGGGTACGAACAAATAAATGTGGAAAACTTTTAAACTGTCGTATAACTAATTTAATAACATTGATCCCGGCTTCGTTGTAATAACTAAAACAAAGGGGTCATTTAAAATATTTCTTTGTGTCATGTCGTCAAAAGTTGGGGATTCTTGTTTTAAGCGACCAACCAGTAACGTTTCTTTATAGACAAAAATTTAAAATAATGGGATTTAAATATATTAATGCGAAAGCTGCCATTTTAAACAATAACTTCTTAAACAACTGGAT